GAGAGGTTTTTTGTTGCTCTTGGCTGTTGTGAATGTCTCCTGTATCTGGATGTCCATCACATTCTGAAAGTTGGAAAGATTTTTTATTATTATTTCCATGAAGAGTTTATCAATTCCCTTAGTCTGCATCTTACAACTATCTTCAACTCCACTGATTCTTAAATTTGTTTCTTAATGTTGTCCCAGAGGTCTTGTATAGCCTAATCATGTTTGCTTATTTTCTTTTCTTTAATGTCATCTGAATGTTCAAGGCCAGTCACTTTGTCTTCCAGTTCTGAGATTCTGCCTTTAGTATAGTTTACTCTATTAGAAAGACTTTCAACTGAACATTTTGTTTGATTTATTTTGTATTTAATTTACAATGGTTCTTTTTTAATACTTCTATCTGCTTATTGAACTTCTCATTCATATGATATACTGACTTCTTAATTCATTCAGTAGTTTTTCTGTGGTCCCTTGAAATTCACTGATCATTTTAATGTTTCTTTTGAATTCTTTATCTGATATTTCAACCACTTAATCAGTTGCTGATAAGTAACAAACTTTAGGAGGTGTCCTTTTACCTTGTTTTCATATTTCTTGTACTCCTATGTTGTGTTTTATGATTCTTTGGAAGATATTTCTCTTCTACTCTTATATGTGGCCATTTTAGGACACATTACCAAAGTGAAGTTCTGGGAAACTACAGCTACATTACTGTGTTCACTTACCAAAGTGTCCTAGAGTAATTTACATTGAGAACCCCTCATAAGTGTGATATCCACAGTCTTTGTGCTAATTCACCGTTTTTGCTATAGCAGTGGATATTTGAAGATGGGACCTGGGGGTCCACACTTATCCATTTTTACTTGGGACCTGGTTGTAAGTTTGTGTTTCTTTCTCTTCTGGTCATTAAAGTACAGCTGAATTTGAGTGTCATTTATTTGTGTGTGGAGCAAGGTGTGCTGTTTAGGTTGAGTTTAGTTCAATAGCAGAGTCTCTATCATGTTAACTTGTAACAGAACTTCACAGAATAGAGTAAAACAAACAATAGCTACAATCGGTGCAAATAATATATAGCATTAAAATAAATACCAAGGACCTTATATGATATGTATAATATTAATTACTACCCAAACCAAAAAATGGTGAGATTAGCAATTTTCAACAGTAAAAACAATTACCATGAACTATATATGGTTTTAAAGCAAACAGCTTGTGTTGACTATGTTATCCACAGCAGTAATAATTGCATCAGATTTAATGGTGGGGGCAGGAGTTATATAAACCAATTAGTTCTAAAAGATGGTAAAAATACAGTTAATTAAGAGAAAAGAAAATATGCTAGGAAGGTAGAAAAGAGTTTAAAATTTCAAAAAGTAAACAGAATGCAGAAGAGATGTAGCAGTTAATAGTTATAAGGATGGAGGAGAAAATGGAAGAAACAAATAGGAGAGAGAGAGAGAGATAACAATAGAACTTTTCTGTTAGAAGAAAAGAAACAAATTACAACCATACAAAAAATATATAAACAAATAAAAAACTTTAATCCTCAAAAGACAAGGCAGGGAAAAATAATGCATTTAAAAATGCTAAAAATGAGGGGGATAAAACCAAATATGTATATTAAATATGGACTTAAACCAATCAGCACAGACATCTCTCATCTCTCCTTCCCTCCCTCTCCCTCTCCCTCCCTCTCTCTCTCTCTCTCTCTCTCTCTCTCACACACACACACACACACACACACACAAAGAGAGTGAGAGAGCTGCCAGTTGGAGTGGTTTAAGACTCAAGCTGATTGAAATAAGTCTCACCTTCCCTTCTCACCAACATGAGGTAGGATGAAGTGGAAAGCACTGTCAGTTGGAATTCTGTCCACACATATTGTTGCATTCCCAAGGTGGAGTTGCTGCAGAGTTCTACAAATGGAGTTCTGAAAGTTGGGAATTAGGTCTTTAGGCCACAGGGGCGTTGTTGGTGACATCTGCTCTGGACACATCAGATCAACATACTCCTAGGGCCTTGCAGTTGCTAATCTCTATTGGGAGTCTGGATCTCAAGAGCCTCCCAGGAATTCCAGTTCTGAGGCAGGTAAGCTAATCTTCCTCACACTTTGCTGCCCAGAAACATATTTGCTAGGCTTGATCCCTGAGTGTATTCACATCTAGCAGTTCAGATTTCCAATTAGCTTCAGCTGGTCATGTGAGCTGCCAGACTAAAAAGGAAAAGCAAGTTGGTGCCCTTTTCACTTTTCCAACTTGAATTCCACTGGGTACAATCTTTTCTGTGCCTATTTTACTCATGTTCTCCTAGACCATACAGTAGGTACCTAATGGGACAGTGTGACACTGTTWGCTAGGATGATCTCTTGGCTTCTGAAGCAGCAGCTGCAGTATATTTACTTCAAAATGGCTCCCACCTCAGCTCTCTGGTCAGTTGGAAAACAGAACTTTTCAAACACCAATGCACAGAGCATCCTCTGGATCAGCTAAGATCAAGCCACTTTTCTGATCTCAGGTTTTTCCATACCAAATCTATATTTCTCTCTGTATTATTCCTCCCTCTATACTGAACCAGCACCACTACCACTACTGCTGCCCCAAGCAGCTCTGCTCTATTGTACTCTTTCTTCTTCATTTAATGAACTCAAGTTACTCTGGCTGTCCAATATTAAATTTTAGTGAGATCCCTCTTTCACCCACCCCCTGAGGAACAGTACTCCCATTGTTTGAATCCCAAGCGATGGAGCAACTAAGAATGAAGTCTTTCTCTATTCCATCATCTTGAATCTCCCAAGCATGAAGATTTAAAACCCCAAATTAAGGTGTTTTCATGGCTACACTCCTTCTGAAACATCTAGGGAAGAAACTTTTCTGCCTCTTCTATCTTCTGGCATTCCTTGAATTGTAACAGCATAACTCCAACCTCTGCCTGAACCCTCACCTGGAAGTCTTCCTTCTGTGTATATCTATACTCTCCAATTTTTATAAGGATATCAGTTATATTAGATTAATGGTTCATCCTATCTCATTATGACTTCATAATAACTAATTATRTCTGCAACAGTCTTACTTTCAAATATGGCCACTCTGTAGTAGCAAGGGTAAAGAATTTCAACTTTGGGGGGACACATTCAATTTTGAACAACTAGTATATAAAAATGCAACTGATTTTTTGCTTATAGATCCTGTATACATTCAATTTGATGAATTCATTTCCTACAGGTTGGGCTTCCTTTTTACAAAATGCTTGAGGCCAGAAGTATTTCAGATTTCAGGCTATTTCAGATTTGGGAACATTAACATAGATTTTACAAATTGAGCATCACTAATTAGAAAATCTGAAGTCCAAAATGTTCCAAAATCCAAAACTTTTTGAGCATAATGTTGGCACTCAAAAAGGTATGGTGGTGCATGCCTGTAATCCCAATGGCTCATGAGGCTAAAGTGGGAAGATCACAAGTTCAAGACTAACTTCAGCAACTTAGCAAGATCTTCAGCAACTTATTTAGACCCTGTCTCAAAATAAAAAATAAAAAGAACTGGGGATGTAGCTCAGTGGTAAAGTGCCCCTGGGTTCATTCCCTAGTACCCCCCCCCCAAAAAAAAAGTTTCAAAGTAGGGCAGGAGGTGGAGGAAAATGGGAACATGTTTGTGAAAAGAACAGAGTTACATAGCAGTATTAAGTTCTAGAGTTCTACAACATGGTGACTATAGTCAATAATGATATATTGCAGAATTCAACATCTCTAAGAGAGTAGATTTTTAAAGTTCGCACCACAAAAATCAATAATAAGAATGTGAGAAGAAGATTACCTCTAGATAGGGAAGAGAGGTAGGAGGGAAAAGGAGGGAGAACKGGAATTGCATAGAAGATGGAAGGAGACCCTCATTGTTATACAAAATACATGTTTGACAATGTGAGGGGGAAAAAGTGTGTCACAGTAGATTGGATAGAGAGAAGTGATGAGAGGGGAGGGGAGGAGGAGAGGGGAAAGGAAGGACAGCAGAATAAAATAGACATTATTATTGCTGTGTTATATATGTGACTGCATTAACCAATGTGATTCTGCAACCTGTACACTCAGAAAAATGAGAAATTATATCCCATCTGATTCAAATGTATGATACATCAAGATCATTGTAYTGTCATGTGTAACTAATTAAAACAAATAAAAATTTTTTTAAAAAAAGAATATGAGGATGGTGAATATGCTATATTGCTTAATTTGGATATTCTACAATGTATGCACATATCAAAACACCATGTAGTACACCATCAATAAACATGATTTTATTTGCCAATTAAAAGAAAAAGTACATTTAAATAAAAGAGGAATTATATGAATTTACCACTGAAAAGACTATACACAAACTACATTTTGTATCATTGTGATTTTTCTTATTTTTTCAAACTATGGTAAAATATATATAAAATAAAATTAACAATCTTAACCATTTTAAGTACTGTTCAGTCATGTTAAGTGAATTAACATTATTTTATAACCAATATCCAAAACTATTTTCATTATGTAAAACTAAGCTTTATATGCATTAAAAAAATAATTTCCCGGGCTGGGAATGTGGCTCAAGCAGTAACTCGATCGCCTGGCATGCGCGGAACGCTKCGTCGATCCTCAGCACCACATAAAATAAAATAAAGATGTTGTGTCCACCGAAAACTAAAAACTAAATATTAAAAAATTCTCTATCTCTCTCTCTCTTTAAAAAAATGATAATTCCCCATCTTCCCCTCTCCTTGTCACTTTGCAATCATCATTTTACCTTCTGTCTCTAAAAATCAGACTAGATAACTTAGGTAAGGGGACTCATACAGTATTTGTCTTTTAATGAATGGCTTATTTTACATAGTACAATGTCCTGTTATTCTTGTCATAGCATAGATAAAGCATTTTGTTTAAGGCTAAATAATAATCCATTATATGCATATACCACATTTTGTTTATTCATTTATACATGCTATAATTAGGGGAAAAAAGAGTTGTTTTAAAAGTTTACCTTTTCAACATATCTGACTGTTTTTCAAATACTTTCAACATCATATTGAATTGGTTAGTCATTGAAGCAGTATCTATTATAATAAAAGTAAAGGCATTAGAATGACTGAAGTTATAGTTCTATGCTACTATAACTCATGCAATAGATATTAAAACTGAATAAGCATAATTAGGAGATAGGAGGGTGAAATGAATACTAAATAGCAAAATGCTTATGATGAATGAAAATATAATTTTATTAAATACATATTATGTGCAAGTCTTCATGTTACTTTGCATTCTCTTAATCCTTAAAATAWCTCAAAAAAGAAAGTACCATCACTATTTTTAAATTAAGAAATTCAGGCACAGAGAGATTATATAATTTATCCAAAACTTGGCCTCCGATAAATTAAAAACTTTTACTGAGGTCCAGCAAATGTAAACTATATGTGATAGAGCAAATGTGTRATAGCTGCTGCTAAAGACAATAGAAAGAATATGTCTAACCTATTGTTTTCCAATTGTATCAAATAACTTAAATAGAAAACTGAGATGCTTCTTAAAAAGGTAAACAATAATCCTTTTTTAAGGATTCATAATAATCAATGGGAAAACAAGACTTTTCAGTCTGGGGACATTAAAAAGTACAAGACAGAAGACAACTGCATCAGGTTTTCTACTAACCAAGATAAGATATTACATGTACAAAGAAAATGTTAAATAATATGGAAACATATAACCTGATGCATAACTGTAGTAGTGGGGTTGTTGGATCATATAATGGTTCCTGTCGTAATTCAAAACAGTATTTTAAGAGCAATATGATAACAGCATACAACATATATCCTGAATATGATAAAGAATTATGAGGAACAAAAACTGTTATTCTGGTTACAATTTGAAAATTCAATATTCAGAAAAAATAAAATGCCATTATCTATCTATGACTCCACTAACTTAGGATCTTCAACTCAGTATTATYACAGGGCAGCAGCCTACTGTGAAGCCAAGGCAGCTGCAGAGGCCCTCACTTTGTAGCAATTCTTGCAACCATGATAAATGGATTTCAGACATGTCACTTCAATTAGCGGGCATGACTTTATTAGAAGGGATAGGAAAAGGAAAAAGGAAACACTCTCAAAGGAAAGAATGGATCATTTCATAGAGAAGAATGGCACACTCGCTCCTGCCCTCCAATTTTACTGGAGATCCTAGGGAAATTTCAAGAGTGTCTTGCCCCAGTCCACCTCTTGACTTTTGACTGATAGCTGGATGACATCAGACTTTCAAGTCCCACTGCAACTCTAGGTCACTTTGGCTCATGCAGACCTGTTTTAATTGGAACCTGCTCTTACAGATTTTATGATTGGGATATTAGCCTTAATCCACTTGGGTTCTGGGATCTGGTCTGTGTAAAGGTCACAAAAGTTCCCTACTTCAGGGTGTCAAGAGTGGCAAATAAATTATTGCTTTGAACTCCATGGCCTTGGACAGCTTGGGGAATATTGGGGAATCTTTTCATGCAAAGATGTAGAAAGATATGCCCATTTGCAGGCAGCCACTGTTAATGAGGCAGAATCCATGCCTAGTGTGGAATTTATTTGTTCCATAGCTTTGAATTTAGATGCTTTGGATAAAAGAGATAGAAGTGTGCCTAAACAGCCTTAACACACCAGCTGCCTGGAGGAGAAAGAATTACCATGCAAGTGTTAAGTCCCCAACCAGCCCAACTTTTCCACAGCTTCTCGATTCTTTTTTACCTTGAGGAATCCCTCCTCACAATAAATTATTTTGGTGTGTTTCACTATAAATACAGCCTTCATGGGCTTTTCCCTTTGTTAGGATCAGATCCATCAGGTCTCTTCCACCCATCATACCCCTGGCTTTGAAAACTATTTCTCTGTGTTGTTTGCTTTCTTTTTTAAAAATATTTTCAACTACAGATGAATACAATATATTTATTTATTTTTATGTGGTGCTGAGGATTGAACCCAGTGCCTCACATGTGCTACCACTGAGCCACAACCCCAGTTCCTGCTTTATTTGTTAATACTACTTTTCCAGACTTTTAATTTCAGCTGCCCCACACCTCTGATTGTTACTTATTCCATCCCCATGCAGGTTGTAGGTTACATCAGGGTAAATTTATATTCTTTTTATTGGAATTTTCAGTTTGTATTTCCTCTACAGGTATTTTGCTGTTGCTGAGGAATGTGATATATCCTGTCAACTTAAATCAGGCAGGGGTATGGGTAAATTGCTTTTGAAAAATGAAAACATATGGAGATCAACACAGTAGACCCAGGTTAGACAGTTATTCCTTCAACCTCACCACTCACATATGTCTGTTTCCTGTCATTTTCCCCTCAAGGATTTGGGGTTCCTAAATGTTTTTAGGAGATGTGGATATCAATTTGATCTGGCTGCTTACTGCTGAGAGAGGACAAAGTTATGGGGGGTAAGCAATCAAAAGTCATTTTCTATCAGGTTGGACATGGACAGTTAACAGTACTTAGCATCAGGGAAGTCCAGAGGTCCATCATGGCAGCTGACAGGTGACTGATTGGCCAAAGTATGTATAGAGCAGAGATCATGTTACTAGATGAAACTTTTGAAATTCCTTTGGGAAATAATGACTCCTTCCCTCCAAAGGAGGCAAAATTTGTGAAATTCCTGAGGAGAATGTATATCCACTTGATGATGGTTAATATATTCTATATATGTCAATTAAGTCTAGTTTATTAATTGTGTTATTGAGTTCTATAGCTTCTTTACTCAACTTTTGTTTGGAAGATCTGTCCAGTGGTGACAGAGATGTGTTAAAGTCACCCATGATTATTGTGTCTATTTGCAGTGCTGTTTTTCTAGCTGTGAATTCTTTTAACTTTTGTTTATCGTGGAAGGTTTTTATTTCATTGTCAAACCTGAAGCTTAATTTTGCAGGATACATTCTTAGTTGAAACCCATTATCTTTCAATGTTTGAAATATGTTGTTCCAGGATCTTCTAGCTTTCAGAATCTCTATTGAAAAATCAGCCATTAACCTAATTGGTTTACCCCTAAATGTAATCTGCCTCCTTTCTCTTATGGCTTTTAAAATTCTCTCCTTGTTCTCTATGTTGGATATTTTCATTGTAATGTGTCTTGGTGTGGGTCTCTTGTGGTTTTGTACATTTGGCGTCCTGTAGGCTTCTAGGATTTGGATTTCCGTTTCAATCTTCATGTCTGGAAAGTTTTCTAAAATTATTTCATTGAACAGATTGCTCATTCCTTTGGATTGGACCTCTATATCTTCCTCTATCCCAATGACTCTTAAGTTTGTTTTTTTTATGTTATCCCAAATCTCTTGGATGTTCTGCTCGTGGTTTCTTATCAGCCTTTCTGAGTTGACTAAACTCTTTTCGAGATAATATATTTGTCTTCATTGTCTGATGTTCTGACTTCTAATTGGTCTACTCTACTGGTGATAGTCTCATTTGAGTTTTTAATTTCATTTATAATTTCCTTCATTCCCAGGATTTCTGTTTGATTTTTTTGTATAACCTCTATCTCCCTGTAGAGTTGCTATTTTGCTTCTTGGATTTGTTTATGTAATTCATTGTCAAAGTGATCTTTCATTGTCTGCATTTGCTGTATAAGGTCTTCCTTGAGACTCCAGATCATCTGAAGCATGTATATCTTGAAACCATTATCTGACATTATCTCTGCTGTGGCTACCAACTCCTCTATTGTTGAGTTGTCCTACATTGTTTGTGCTCCTTTTTTTCCTTGTTTTTTCATGATGCTCATGTTTCTTTCCAGCTCCGTGTGACTGCTATGTTATTATTTTCTCCTATGAATTTGTTTTGCTTTTGTAAAGCTCCAARATCTCTCCTTTGTGATGGGAGACAATGTCTAGAGATGTTGAGTTCAATTGTAATTTAAAGTAAATTCATTAGTTTCATAAAAGGCATACAAATTCTGGTGGTGTATAGAGAACTGAGGGTAGGTCGTAGGACTTTATGTTTAGGGGGAAAGATGTGAGGATATGGGGGTTAATATATCTTAGCTACTTTGAAGGAGAGCTCTAATGAAGGGAGATATTAACAGGAGAATAGACAGGAGTATTTGGGGGTAGCTAAGTACTTAGGAAGACTATGAAAAGCATAGAAACCTTCACCTATTTGCATTTAGTAAATTACACATAGTAGAAGTAGTAACACTTGGGAGGTTGGAGGGGCAGAGAAGGAAGAAGAAAAGTACAAATAAAAGAAGAAGAAAGAAATAGAGAAAAGAAAATGGAAGAAAAAAAATGCACTCTTAGAGTTCTGTTTTCTTCTCTTCCAGTAGGTGTCGTTGTGCTTTCCAGGCTGAGTCTCTGTCCTCAGGATGTAGGAAGCAATCCGTGTGGGGCAGCTTTCCCTCCCCTGCTGGGTGTCTCTCAAATCCCAGTTTCTTTGGGTTGCTCCTGGTTTCTATCCCCCTCACTTCTCCTGCACACCAGGCCCCAATTACTGGGGCTCTTCTCCACAGCTCTAGTTTCACTCTGGGCGTGAGGCGCCCTGGCCACTCTGCACTCTTGATCAACTGAGCACTCTCTTTGTTTGGTAGTTACCCAGTCATCACAGCTGTGGAGAGAAGGAGTTAGAAACCAGCAACCTATTCTGACTAATTCCCTCTGATAGCCATGCCCACCAAGAGCTGTCAACAAAGGTTTTGGTTATCACAGCTGGGGGGAGGGGGAATTGGAGATCAGGTGCCTTTTCAATTTCCCTCAGCTCTGATTTTCATGCCCACTGAGAGCTGGTAAGAATGTTTTTGAGTTATCCCAGCTGGGTGGAGGGGAGTGCTGGGGGTCACACAGGTGATATGTCRCCAATCTCACTGCCCTGTGATCTGCCCAAAGCTGATGAGGTAGATGCTCCAAGATGGCGATGGCCCGTTTCCACACCGGGGTGTCTGGTGAGCAGGAGAGAACAGGGCTGTTTCTCCATTAAGTCCCAACTTCAGTCCTCGGTCCAGTACCCTGTGGAGACGTGGGTGGCAGATCTTCACAGGATCTGAAACTCTGCTTCTCTAAGCTGCCAGAACTCCGCAGTGCTCAATTTCGCCC